AAATCTGACTTTAAGCTAGATTGAGTGTGAGTTTTTATTTTTATTTGTATATAGTAGTTAGATTTTATTTTATTTTTTTGTTTAATTTTAGTTTTCCTTCTTTTTTTTTCAATTAATAGTTTTTTTTGTTGAGTTTTTATTTTAGGTTTTGGAGTTATTGCGGCACCAGGTATTCCTATCCCTTTTGATCTTTATTCATTATTTTTATTGAGCTTTAAGACATTTATTTTTACATTGAGGATAATGTTAGATTTAGGTTGGGGGGTATGAGTATGTTTTGTGTTGTGAAAATTCCTAATTTATGTGTTTTTTTTCTAGTTTATTTACTTTTCTAAAAATATAAAAAAATTAAAAAAATTTGTTGGTTATTATATATCTGAATAATATTTTTATGCATAATTTGACACTACATTACAGAAATAATTTGTTTAACTTTAAATTTGCAACTGTTTAAGCATCACATAGAACTTTATTCTATATTTTTATATCTCATATCATGTTCTTATAAAAACTTACAATTTGTGCTCTTTAGACATTACCAAGTTGAAAATTTATTAGGTATTTTACCTTGAGAACTTGAAACATATAGTAGAGATGCATAAAAATCCTGGTGAGTTTTGATCCAATCTTTCTTGAAGGGTTTTTTACATTTACGAATAAAGAATATTTTAATTCAGCTAATCTCTTTTAATTGTCTCATTATTTTTGTTTTGGTCAACACCAATATTATGAATGATTACATGACTTTAAATTATTTGCATGAGAAGTGTGCTATCAAAAACTCTTGAGATATGATTTTACGCCATCTTTAATATTATTTGAGCTTAAACCTTATTCTTTGAATATTTTTATCCCTAGAAGCCATGATTGAGCCTTTGAAGTAAAATTTTATTTCTTATACCCAACATATAATAACCAAGTCAATGAGAAAAATAATATCATTTACCCTTGGTTATCTCGAGATTGTGCTTTTTATTGTTTATGTAAGTTGGGAGATATTAGTTGAGAAAAGATGATAAAAAAAAACAGTTCTGCATACTTTTGAATATTTGCATTAGACGTCTTGTTGAAAAATAATAGAAGTATATACATTCAGTTGTCTTGCTAAAAAAAAAAAAACAGTTGAAAAAAAAAGAGAGAGAGACAATATGTTTAGTTGTGAAAAAGAAAATTAAAAAAAAGAAAAAGAAAAATAGCAATCATGAGTTCAAAAAAATATGAGCAAATGTTGTAAATTATATTTCTAAAGGGTAAAGAGTGAAAGGTTATGGAAAAAAGATTAGTTGTGTAATATACATGTTCTCTCGAGATAGTCTTTTGAACTCTTGAATAAAACATAAATCTTAAATATAGGTAGAAGATAAAAGGTTGTCTTAGTTAGATGAAATTCCTTTCCCAAAAAGAAGTCTTGTAAGGTTAAATCCCGTGCATGAAATCTTTGGGGCACGAGTACAAAATCTGTCTAGACTTTGAACTTGAATTTTGCATATTTAGAGGCTGAATCACAAAAAATTCGTGAAATACACTTTTGTAGCCCTTGGAGTCTTCTTTTCAACCCCCAAATATCAAGTAAATCGGTATCAGAATCAAAAATTATGACCAAAATACTGAAGACGTGTCAAATCTTTATCTTCTAGGATACTTTTCTAACCCAACTCTAAATGAGTTTTCTTTCAACTTTGACTCTTATAAGGATTAAATTGCTGTCATATCTTCAAGTCTTCCTATTTCAATCTTTACTCTTCAATCCTTATCAATTGTGATTCTTCCTCTAATGATTGTTTTACTTGCATTATCCATTATTACTTTAAATTAACCAATTTACCTGCAAAATAAACCAAACAACTAGAAAAAGTATCAAACTAGAAAATCAAGAAATTTAACACATTTACTCACAAATAATATGTAATTAACCAATCATTAAATATAATTAAATAGTAATTTTGATAGTTAATCACACCCCCAACCTGAATATTACTAGTCCCTAATAATACATGGATCATAAAATCTAAAAACTAAAAACAACATAACCTAATAAAATAAAACACAAATTCACTTTCGTAGGACTCACGATTGCATTTAGTATATGTATTAAGCCTTTAAACCCCTAGGTTCCCCATAGTGGACAAGTATAGTCTCGTGAGGGTTTCTAGAGATGATACCCACAAACATCATCCTGTGATCAAATACCTAAATAATAATTTTATGATACAAATTGCTACCACAATATAAAAATTCTAAACTACAAACCTTTTTATAAGCACATGCAAAACAAAATATAGAATTCTACGCTATATAAATGTATGCACTTATCATGTTCCCATATAAACTCGTGGGTAGTGTGAATTAACTATACCAAGTTAACAATTTGTCCGATAATCACCTCTAAAACTATCAACTATTCGTCTTATTGTCAAATCTCACTAGATAATTCACTCATAAAAAATTCTCTCAGATTATAGTGACTATTCCCTCAAATATCACATGTAAGAAGAAGATATTTAAATCAAGACAAAATAATGCTCACATGTTCCATTAAAAAAAACGTAATTCAACAGAAAAGGATTTGACATAGTCTCATGAAAAGAAATCAACATATAATATATAAACAATCATCATTTTCTTCCATATTCATAAGAGTCATGCATCCAATAGGGGTTCTCATTTAGAGATTACTATAATTCTTTTTCTCATCTTTTTATTTTTTATTTTAGTTCGTCATGTCTAACTAAAGGGCTAAGTTAGGACTAGAGGAGAACTTCTCAATGAAGTACGGCAATGTTATTGATTCTAAGTTTAATGATTTATGATATTTTGTTACTTTAACTTCTGATCTTATAGCAAAGTTTTTATTCTGTAAAAATTCTTGAGTTGTTGTGTCATGTACATTAATTGCTTGAATTTCGCTACGAGTAAATAACTGGTTATTCCACGCTTAAGGTAATTATCATTATTTCATAAAATAATATAATTAGATGATTATTCAGGTTCTTGAATAATCTTTTGATTATAACTTTTGATTTTCTTACTTGATTTGTTATTCGAATCAACCGACATCTGATTCTTGTTTAAAGTTAAGTTTTGAGTCCTTAATCATTATTGTATGGAATTGAGAGGGAGTACCTGATGCTCTAGTATTTTTATTATTGTTTTAATTATTTAAATCAACTTTCTTTGTTCAACAATTCCCTAAACAAATCATTTATTTTTGAGTTTGTTTAAGTATTTGTGTGATTATTTTCTTGTTACAATTCATTGAGGGTTCGACCTCGATTTTCCGAGAATTATATTACTTTGCTAAACCTGCGCTTGGGTTTAAAATATTAAAGTTGAAGCACACAGCTCAGTGATAAAGGCTGTGAGGGAAAAACTTTCGTTGAGGGAGTCCGTTTTTAGGGACTCCGAGTTGAATTTCTTAACATAGCTCTGTAGTGACTTGTTTGCACCCTGCTTCACACTTAGCATGTGGTAACACAACTTTTGGTAAGTTTGGGCCCTTATGAAGTTGGGCATGAAGGAGATGAAGAGCTCTCTAAAAGAGAAAATTAAAGTCGAGGCTAGCCAAGGTCAAGCTCTTTAGGGTGATGGCAAAGGCTTGGTAGCGCACTGGATCGTGTTATCCATGCAGTTTCATCTGATTCTTGTATGTGTTGAGGTGATCCATAGGATTCTTCATCCCATTAAACGTTTTGATTTGAGGCATTTTGAATTTTTTGGGGAGAGGAAAGCGTAGCACCTCGGGGGTGAATGGTGACTTTGTTTGTTGAATCAAAGCATCCATAGTCATTAGAGTTTTGCTCTTCACCGCCTCCTTCATATGGCTTAGCTCCTGCTAGATTTCCCTAAAACGTCATTCTTAGAACTGATCCCTCCCATTTTGCCGGGAGGAGCTGGGACGCCCTCGTCTCTATAGACTCCTCTATTTTGACTTTGGAGCTTATCTTCTTCCCTATTTCTTGGGGCTTTGCAATTCACATTATCAGCAGAGTGATTGAGATTATTTTCTTCTATAATCTTCTTCAAAGGATTCTGATGATGATATTCCCTACGAGAGGGATCATCCCGGACTAGTTGTGCCATCTAGAGATTTTGAGCATGGATGAGAGCTACTAGATCCTTATTTTGCTTAAGGAGGTACTCATTTGCTTTTCGTAGTGCTTTGAACTCGTTATTTGGAAGGAGATTTGCTATCGGTAGATTGTCTTCTGGGTTCAACGGAGGATTTATTGGAATTCTCTACTGTCCCATGACATTGGCTTCCAACTGGTTGTACAACCATAGTGGATTTGTCTAATTTTTACTCATGTTATGCGTAGAGACTATCAATTACTAAAAGATCAGTAGAATTTTAGCAAAAATCAAAGCAATCGTTCCCACAAACGGCGCCAAATTGATGGTGCATTATGTGCAGTTGAGTAGAGGTAATGGATTAGGGATTTGTTGATGGGGTTCACTGAAATATCCAGTCAGAGTTTCTAGGCTCTTGGTGGTTGAACAATCAATTCAGGGATTATAGTTGTGAGCATAATTCAATAGACGAGAGATTTATAGTAGTTCACCAGTTCGAAAGTTTAGTTAATCCATTCTAATAGAGTCACTTGCTCCTATGGGAGTTTTCTATTAGTTGGGGAAGAAGGAGTTAGGAATTTTTGCACAAAATTCCCAAACCTATGAGGAACAAAAATAGAGAAGGCACATGCCAAAGAAAAATAATCACACACAAAAGATAGTATTTACATGGTTCGATAATTTGCCTACGTCCACGAAATTGCAGGGATTTTACTATTGAGAAAAAATAATATAGAGGGTGGTTGTATAGTACCAATCCAACCCTAATCACAAAAATAACAGTTTTTATATGTCTTGCGCACCGGGCTACAAAATAAGCTCAAAATTTTTTTTCCCAAGCCTCCACTCCATGGATTAAGCCTCAAAAAAAATTTCATTAAAAAATTACGCAACATTATTTCGGGTTGGGTCATCATTCAAATCAACACAAACTAGACTCCACAAGAACGTGAGGAGCCAAGGGGAGAAACAAACCCTGCCCACATGCATAAATGCCTTACTCCAAAAAATCCTATCGTCCTTGGGAGTGGTTTCTGGAGATGCCCATCTGGTTTTGCAGTCAATGAAGCTGGGATGGGATTGGCATGAAATGGATCCGCCTGCCACTGCCTAGCTCCCTGAATGTCAAGCAATATGCCATGCCATCTAAAAAGCAATTGTCAAGAGTGTTTGATAACCTTTCTACTTGGCATGAAGGGAGTCAAGCAGGCAGGCAGACCGCCCATAATCATATTTTTTCAAACAATTAATGCAATCATCTTATGTACGTTCAGGAAATTCAAATCCTCTCCGGACTCTTGAGGTACCAAATCTGTTCATACTTGATATACAAATTATATATACATACATACATGTCAGCCATTGATTGCTGCTATAGTGAACAATTACCAACCATTCTTTCCCACCAAACAAACAACCACCTACAATAATCCTTCATTCACCTTCTTCTGCATGAAATGAAACCCAGCTGCTTCGTGCAAGCTCATTCAGAGAATGAAATGATGAAATTCTACTAGAAAAGTAGAAAACAGTTAACTCTCTTCCCCCTTTTCCTAGTGCAAACCCTCTCACCCCTCGACAGATGAATGAATTTATTGTTATACCCCGAGAGAAATCACGGTGTTCCTTTGATCTAGAAGAATAGATAGGCGAAACAACCTATTTTTGTTTGTCAACTGGTGGGGTGGCAGGTCACTTCCACGCAAATCCTGTGGGACTGAATTGATGCTTTTTTGACTCTTGTCTCGAGTACACACTAACTTTGGACATTAAGTGGGCCTTTGTTGGCTTGTTAATGCTTGATCTGTATGTTCTCCGTGGGGACTAGACCATTCACTTATCCTAGTCTATTGACTAAAAGACCATCGTACAAGAGCATCCACCGACAGTTACCGCTTCACCTGAGTATGATTCTCCTCTCACAACGGAAATTGGCATCACACAAAGGAGCTCACTTGGCCGCTGCATCCAAATCTGCAAGATTAAGACATACTAAAAGAAAACTGATAATTGATACACCAAAGGCTAAACAAGGCCTTCTTAACCAGTAAGAAAGCCATGCTTGTTGGGTCTTGAACGCCATCACACAATACAGCAGGTGCTAGGGCAGAAAGTCTAGCCATATATGGCTAGCAGAAGTACGTACCTCTTTGGGAAAAGCTGAAAGTTAGGAAATGTTGCAGTATTATTGGTAAATTTTGTTTAGAAAGTGCAGATAACTCAAATAAATTCATTTTAATCATATATACAGCCTTGGTCACTAACAGCCCACCATGACCTGTTTTGCATCACTGGTTCCTCCAGCTCCACAAAGCACCATTTCTTTCACCTGGACCTCACAACATAAAAAACTCGACACACAAAAACACATACACACATTGCAGACCAATTAAATCAGATATTCTTGTGCTTTGTATTGGTGGGAGGAAAGCAAGCTTGTTCATCACAATTCACTTAGATTCAATGATAATACAACATTTGTTCTACCATAAGGCTACTTGACATAATCCAACAAAATCCCATAGCTAATAATTACTAATTTTTTATTTTCAAGCTATACACCAGTACAAAATCATACGTGACTATAGGCATTAGAAACGATGCTTCAACAGTCTGCCTGAGTTACTTCACAAAACTGATGCCATACTCATATCCACCAAGCCCAAAGAAACCAATCCTGCACTCCTTTTATCAGAATAGTCCATCAATATCATAATACACCAAAAGGCAATAAATTTAAATTGGCAACAGAAGCTGAAAAGCGGATATTCCAGCCTTAACAACCAGATCATCTTTTTACTCTTTCAGCCTCCATATGACAAAGAGTAAATGCAACACAAGGCTAACCAAGCTCAGGCAATAAAGATTCTTAACAGGGATCTCAACAATGAGGCTTCATGTTGAGTTTTTTAGCTTAGCAAGTTGATCCAATGCATCTTTAAGGGGTTCTCTTAGTTTGCTTTTCTTGCCCTAGAAACAATGAAATTGTAAACAGCAGCTTGCGAAGATTAAAGAGTAAAACAAATACCAAATCCTTTATCTCAAAATCATTGTTTCAAATATAAGATATCTTAGCATTTAATCACACAATCATCCATTCCAAAGATTCCTCCTTTAAAATTGACCCAACAATGAAAGAGCGAAGGCTAAATCGGATTATTAATCATCAACCATAAAACTGCATATTGGCAACTTCTAGATAGCAAGTTTGCAATGAAAACACACAAGCAAACATGCAATCAAATCACACCATAACAGCTTGTGAGAAAAAAGGGAGCGAGACACCTTTATAAGAGGACTAATACATCAACTCTCTGACCAGAAAATATTTAAAAAATTTCGCAAGTCCATGTTTCAATGAGATTAAGAACCAAATAATTTCTATAGTGTTTGCTTCTCTCACTCTTTCCTCCTGCATTCATGCAAACAACTTCAGAAATTCGTGACAAAGCATCAAAGTCTAACAACCTTAATATACCATCTCAACTTAATTGGAGATACCTGGCCCTACCATTTGTCAATCTGACAGTGAAATAGATAACAAAGCAACAAATATAGGCCAAAATACAATGGTCTTCTTTCATATATGATGAAAGCGTCTTTATTGAGTCCCAGATGGAAAAGAGTAGGAAAGAGAAAAGGAAAAGTCAAAGAGAGCCTCTAAACCCAAATATGACCCTTCTCCTGCAGATCACTAGTATACTGCATTTACACATTGAGTTACTAAAGAAGCCAGACTTTGGTCTCCTAGAAAGAATGGAAGAAAGGGTAAGGGCTATATCTCTCTATTGGTAGAAAGATGTAGATCTCTATCTCTAATCTTGTGGATAGTGAGAAACAACTTAACCTCTTTCTTGATGGTACATCAAATATGGATAAGTTGTTACAAGCACATGAAGGAACTAGTGTAGGAAGCATTTATACAGTTATATAAGTCCCGATATATAATCCTCTAGAGTATAAAAAGATAATAGCCAAAATTCCAGAAAGAAACTAGCATAACCAGAAAAAGGCAACCATTTTCCAACTCCAATACTAGTGGGCCATCAAAAATATATTAATCCAAAAGCTACAGAGCTATTTATGCCGCACCTTCAAGGACGGGACAAGAGCAAAAACTTCTTCCACAGATTCTGGACCTACAATGGCAATCATGGACACCTGCAGTCATAAAGATGAAATAAAGTACACCACATGACTATTGAAAATCAAGTATTCCAGTTTAAGATTAATACCTCGCCATCAGAAACATTGTGCTGTTTGAGAGCACTATTTCTAAGTTAATGGATCAACAATAGAGTGCTCAAAAATATTTTTTTTTTGTTAATTTTTCGGCTTGGGGTGCCCCAATAGCAAGCTACTGTAGTGGGCCCTCCCCTCAAAAAAATAATTTAATATCGTGTAGCCCATTGAGCCATGTATCAATTATTAAACTGATAAGAAAAAATATTAGACATGATCTTAGTCAAAAACAAATTAACCATAACTCGAGCAACGTCAATCTCTGGACACTGCTGACTTACCCAAAAAAAAAAATAGTAGTAATAAAACTAGTAATTATCATTGTTATGAAAGAAAAGGATACTCAAGCACTCGTCTAACAGAGTGTGGACTTGTATAATGGCTACCCCTCTTGGCATACTGTAGTCCCCTGTCAAATGAACTGAAAATGAACAGATTGTTAAAGCTCTTAAAACCATATTAACTTCTCATTTAACTAACAAAGAAGTACATGAAATGCTTTTTTAAGTAAAAAAGGCATCCCTAAACAAGAATACGAAGCATAAAATGTATTACTCACATGGGGATTTTAATTGCTGGATCTTCAGAAAGTATGACCATTTGCACTTGGATTCCTTGTAAAATTTCTACAGCTTCACAGTCCATCAAGCATTTAGCGTTCTCCAAAAGTTCTGCCCATATTTCAATAGTTCCCATTAAAAGCACACACATGCGCATAACTTGAATAACTGTACTAGCAATTCCCCTTTCAAAAATGCTACTACTACTAAAAGAGTAAAAATCAATAGATTAGAAGGCTAGAAAGACCCAATGTTTTATTATACAGACACTCACAATGTATACATAGTCAGAGATTGCTCAATTATGTTTAGCTTGTTTTTCAATTTTACAGAAGTATATCCCAATATAAAAAAGAATTGCAATGGAACAACATAAGCCGTGACTAATATTCGAAAAATTACGATTGGAAAACAAAATTAATTCCATTAAACTATATAAAATAGCAAGGAGACAAATACAATTTTAATAAAAATTGAAAAACATAGAAAAACCAAGAAAATTATAATATCGCGTAGTGGCAATTATCCAACTATGGATAAATAAACCATTGAGACTTTTCCAAACTATTTGGTATAGTAACTAAATTTTGTTTCGATATTGTGCTCTAGTAAAGGTTATATTTTTTGTTAAATCGCAGACAAACTAACCACAACCAATGTATTAAACAAATAAGGTATCTTTGAACTTCTCTTCTTTTTTTTTTTTCCTTTTTTTGGGGGTGGGGGGTGGGGGGGAGGCTGTGTGTTTGTATAAGAGAGAGGGAGAGGGAGAGGGAGAGGGAGTGCCTGTGTTTAGCCAAAAAAATGCACTAACCATGCTCAATTTTGAGCTCCAACGGCGGAGGTGCCTTTACCATAGGGACTTTACCACCATTTGCAATCTTATCTCCTTTCCCCCTTTTGCCCCAATCTCCTTGAAAATTTAAGAATTGTGCAGAGGATTAACACAAACACAACCATGTCTATGACCATATAATATGAAGGATCCAAACAAAAAAAAGAGTAAGAAAATCAAACCTCCAGCAACTGGGTTATCAACCTTCCCACCAGATTTTGAGGACATGCTAATTTTGGCTTCTGATGAATTCAAAATATTTACAACAAAATTTAAAAAGGAGGGAGGGTAAATGAGTAATGAGAATAGAAAAACATGTTCTACATGAAGTCTGAACAAGTAAAGAATGACCATATAAATCTCTAATTCTCTATAGTATCAAGAAAAAGAGGTATAACCTTCAACATCAAACTGTACTTTTCTTCCCCTCTTTGACTTTGCTGAGCTATCATCCTTCCCTTTGAATGATGCTACGCAAAGGAATTTTCAGAAATAAAATATGTCTTAAACATTAGAGTTATTAGTTCATCATATAGAAAACGAAAATCAATTTGAAACAACAAAAAATAAGCATAAAAAGGCTACATATATCTCAGCAGTAATCCACACATCAGAGCATGTTTCATGCATCCAAACTGCAAGGTATAATCTAAGTTCAAATTTTATTAAATGCTCAGTAATCAGTTCTGCCATGTACATGTCGTCCAATTGGTACCAGCAAGTAATGATTGGCTAAACCATAAGAATACCCAAAAACACAGAAAGATACATTTGAATGCATGATAGATTAAAGATAAAAACAAGTTACTTGGAAATAGGTGAGAGTTACCGGGAGATTTGAGAGAAGATTTTCCACCATTAGAAAGTGAAAACCCCTTTCCACCTTTCTCTACCATTTGCAGTTGTTAGTGCTGCAAAAGATATGCAGTCTCAGGTCGAAATCATCTAATCAAACCTCATCCAACAAGCAGATTAATGGGAAAATAATAAAAATATAAGTTAGACCTCTCTCAGACGATGATTGCAAAAAAAAAAAAAAAAAATAAATAAAAAAGAATTTTTTTGAGATGTAAAGTATAGAATGGACCTTAAGAATGGGTTTCCTTATTAATTAAAAAAAATAGGAAAAAAACACCTTTCCATCCTCTTGAGTAATGTCAGTCCTTTCAAACTTCTTTTCCAGAAAATATTGAACCCAAAACATTCTCTTAACCCAAAAAAGACAGAGATGCACAAATAGATAATTAATAGGTACATATTTGCAGAACAAACAGGAAATAGAGAAATAAAAGAGAAAGGAGAGGATGAAGACGTCGAATTATCGGAAGACAATGGGAGAGTAAAAGGATGGAGAAGTCCAGCAGTAATATCGATCAGAGATAAATAAGAGGGAGCGTGGGGTGGTGTCAGGGGTGGGTTGTTTTACGAATGCAGCAGTATTACAACTTTTTTTCTCTCTTGTCGTTTGAACCCTGCCTTCTAGCTATGGGAGGCCACGCCCTTTTAGGGTTAGGGTTAGGGATCCAAGTATTTACATATTGTCAGGTTTTTCGGGTTGAAAATGAGTTACACGGATTCATGTCAACCCAATTAAATACAAAAGTTAATTGGGTCAATTTTGGGTTAATCGGGTTGAACCTAAATACGATCCATTAACACTTTGTGTTAGCCCGGTTATATCATACATGAATTTGTGTCAAAAAATAATCAACTCAAACTCATTTATTCGTGTTGTGTTTTTATCGAATTATCATATCGTATTAAAAATTATCACCCCTTCGTAACGTGGCGTCTATCTAGCTCAATTGACAACAGTAATCATATAATGAGGAGGATAGACAATATCTATATCTATACTACTAATAAAAGTACCTTAAGATGAAAATTTTTTGAATATTTATTTTACTCTTATAAAGAAATGCAAAGACCGCTCTATTCTTTTATAATTAAGTAATTTAAATACAATCATATTCTTATGTATTTAAATCTCTAAAATATCTATAAAATTTCTTTTAATTATCTATTCTCTTTGTATAAATATAAGTTTGTATAAAATTTTTGATTGACTATATTACTCTTAAAAAATATATTGCATCATTATATTTTCAATAAAGTGTTCAAAAAATCTTAAAAAACTCCATCAATTTAATATTACTCATTTCATATACAAAATTAAAATTATACATGCATATGTGTATTTTCTTTTAAATTGAAAAGTTTAACATTTTTTTTCTAAGATAAAAAATAATCGTATATATAGTTTTTTTTTAAATTATTTTATATTACATCAATATAATTCTTCACTCACAATAACTTTTCTAAGATGTACTAAAATTTTATATAAAAAATAGATATTATAGTATATTTTTAAGTAAAACTTAAATTTTTTAGAATTTTTATATGCTTGAAAACATATATTATAGAGTAGTAAATCTTATTAGATTTGACTTAATTAATTCATAATTAAAGTAAGGGTCCAATGTGATTAGTATATTCACAAAAAACTAATTTCTTAAACATTAGTAAAAAAATAATATCAATCACAAAATTTTATAAAAAAAAAAAATTTAACTATTTTTTTTATATTTAGAACAAAAATTTTGAGAACATACAAAATTTTTATAATCCTTATAATAGAATATGAGTAATAAAAAATTAAGTTTGATAAATTTAAGATGATATTTAATTCAGATACATATATATGTAATATGTTTTATTAATTTTTGTATAAAAAAAATATTCACATGCAATGCACGTGACGCATTAGTAGTGGCCTTAAACGACTCTTCCATTCAAAAAGTAGACGAGTCCATCCGTCAAAACCATCAGCACAATACCATTGTGCCTTCGTCATTTATGCCTTCGTGGTATAAATTCTAGTGAAAATTAGAAGAGAAAAAGGGAAGTTGGAACACAAATATAGAATTATTTGAGTAAAAAAAATACTAATAAAATTTATTGGATATAAGTGCATTTTGATGGAAAAAAACCAAAAACTCATTCTATAAGAGTAACTCTTGTAATAATTGATTTTTGTAAACAATTATATCACAATTCCTCTTTATTATCTCACTCTCTTCCTTATTTTTTCTCACATTTACTCTATTTTTTTTCTCTTTCTCTCCCGTTGATAATTTATTTTCTTTTAAAATATGTAAAGATTTGATTTGATAATTTTTATTTGAAATTATAATTTTTTTGATTTTTTGTGATACACCTTATTGGTGTATTTATTTGATGTATCACTTTCTTGTTTTAATTTTGTGCATTAATTAGAGGTATCATTTTAGTGTTTCTATTTTGGTATATCTATTTGATGTATCTCTTTCGTGTATCACTTTCTTAAACCAAATTTTTGCATTAATTAGGTATTTCTCTTTTGTGTATCTATTTGTTGTATCTCTTTGTAATCATTGTGTGTTGTGAATAATCGGTGCAACTTATACCTATTAGGTGTATCTCTTTGGAGAAAACAATGTTTGAAATTGAATCATAAAGCCATGTTTGGAGTTGTATCATAATACCTTCCACTAATTTAGAACCAAATCAGAAAGTCCACAACTAGAGAATATAGGAAATGACAACGTTTGAAGGCAACGGTTGAAGAATATACTGTGAATTGATTTAAGAATAGATGTTCAAATGAATAAAAAATTAAGTCAAATTTTTATATATTTAAAAAAAAATTATCAATAGAAGAGAGAAAGGGGTATAGCTCCTCTGTAGTTGGTGACTAAAAGCATAGGGTGTTGTTAGTCAAACAGTGTCATTTTAAAAAGGTTAAATAGTAAAAAAGAATTCCACATAAGCCAAAAGCTTTTCACCAAAAAGAAACCCTATCTTTTCCAAAACACTATCACCCATAAATCTCTGTGAAGATCAAGACACAGAAGCTCCAGCGTCGGCAATATAGGTATCAGATCCGTCATGTTTGACTTCTAGTGGGTTCTGTATTTCTGAATAATGGTTTTGAGAATTCCTATTAATTTGCTTATTTGGGAATTTTTTGCAATGAAACATGACAAAGTAAAAGTTGATTATTGTCTTTTGTGGTTGAAGCTGGCTTGTGTGGTTTTGGTGAGTTGATGGTTTAGGATGTCAGGGGTCGGGTGTTTTGTTGTATTGGGTAGTTGATGAGGATATCAGGATTTGGGTTTTGCAATAGATGATTTGTGGTGGGTGGTTGAGTTGAGAACTTTGTGGAGAGTTTTAATTTCAAGGAGATGAAGGTGGTCTGACGAGGAGATGGTGGGTTAAGGGTGGTTGGGTGGTATGTGGATGGTGCTGCAGATCGGTAAAATTGCATATGAGTACAAGTTATACACTTATATTTTGGAAAGGGTTACTAATGAGAGTGCATATGGTTGCTAGTGACTGTGAAATAAATGATCATGTACGAAGATATTAAGAGAGGAAGAGATGAGATAGGCATGGCAAGGGATCGATGGAGGGAGACGATCGGAGATCAAGTATAGAACTTGTGGAAATTCACCACTAGGGACTCAGGGAGGGCGTTGAATCTACGGACAGAGAAGGGTTTCATAGTTGCGTAAAAATGACAAGTTTTCCCCTGTGCAAAATTTGCAAGTTTTTGTTTGGCAAAATTTTTTAACTGTGCAAACTAACTAAAACGTCACCGTTTTGACTAACAGTACATGTATTGTTAGTCCCTAACTGCATGGGAGCTACACTTGAGACAGAGACTAGGAGAAAATAACGAGGAGAGAGTAAGAGAAAGAAAACAGGAAATAAGGGAAAGGGAGTCAGTGTAACGGAGAAAGAGTGACAGAGCAACGGAGAAACAGAGTAATGACGAGACAAAATAGGGAGAGAATGAGCAAAAGAATAAGAATAAATGTTCAAAATTTAAATAAATGATAAAATTAAATCAAATTTTTAGATATTTAAAAATAAATAAATTGTTAATTAGTTATGCATTATTTAAGGAAGGGTAATTAAGTAATACAGAAAAAAAATAAATTGAATTGTGTATCTAATAACAAAAGAAATTTATTTATAAGTGAACTTAATAGAATAAGTCCATCTCCAATCCTTACTCTTTTTTAAATCCATACTTATATCAAATGAAAGGAAACATTTTTTTAAACCCAAATCAAAGGAGATCTTTTTTTTAAACTCAAATCTTTAATAGTGCGGTTACACTCTTCTTTAAAACTCCAATTGTTATATTTTACATTCTTTTAAATTTAGATTTGTTCTCATTTAAATTTGAGTTTCTCTTCATCTGAAAAAGGGTTTGTACATTGGAGAGATTTATACTAAATCAAATTTTTTACCATTTTTTCACTCAAATTTGAATAAAGGTTTGAATCTCCATCGGAGATGCTCTAAAAATCTTATCAGTGAACTTTCTTATCAAATAAGTCTTAGAAAATATATCCACATCCAATTTTCCCAAATTTGAAATCAACATAATTTAATGGGATTTTTGGAGGTGGTCTAGAGTTGTGGACTTTTGAATCGATTAGTCCAGGTGCAAACAATTTGGGGCATAAAGGGCAAACACGTGTGCAAAGACAAAACTAACCTTAAAAACTCGGTATTTTCTCAAAACTAGCCTACGGCTATGTTTGATAACTGTCTTTGTCTCTGTTTTTGTGCTTTTGTTTTTAATTTTTGTCAAAAATGAAAACAAAAATATATTTGGTAATTGTTTTTGGTTTTGTTTTGTTTTGTTTTTGTTATATTGGAGACAAAGACAAAAAAATAGGAACAAAAAATTTTTATTCCAAGAAACACGCGTAACAGGAACAAGCGCTAAAAGGGATTAATGAAATTCGGGTTTCGAACTTCCTTAACAGCAAAAATACTCTTTTTTTTGTGAACCTATTTAAACCCACCCATCTCTCTCTCCTCTCCTGTCCATCGCTAACTCTCCATCGCTGCCTCACTCTCTCTCCATTTTCTCACCTTCATCGACGATATCTCCTCTCCTCTCTCTCACCGACGGCAGGTAAGCCCCTTCTCTTTCTCTCTGTTTCTCCCTCTCTCATCTCATCTCCTCGCTCTCTCTATATATATATACACACAGCTTCGTGTATATATATGTATATATACACAGATCTGTGCACATATATCCACAGATCTATGTGTTGCGTGTGTGATGGTGGTGACGACTTAGATTCCAATTTTTTAGCTTTCTTCGTGGGAATCTGCTAGAAAGTTGAATTCTTCTGAAGAGAACAATGAAAAGAAGTAAAATAGGTCTCACATTGTGAAGCTAGAAAGTTGTTTGAACATATAGGTGGCTGTTAGTTATGAGTGTGTGGTGAGCGGCCCATTGATTTGTACAAACAAGCCGAAGTGCAAAAATTGACTAAGCAGTTATATATTCCCCCTCCAAAGGTTAACTACCTTTCAAAATGGAGGTGCCTCTATCAATGAACCTGGATCATTGATTGTTGGTGGGTTAATTATGCCTTCTGTTATTTATTTCATAGCAACTGATTCGTTAGTATTTGTAGCTTTTCAGATGCATTTTCCATATATTTGTCGTTTTTTTTGGACCAAAAAAAAAAAAATTATTTGTGGGTTTTCACCTGTGCCTTTCTAGTTTTTATTTTCTTGTATCTAGAGAAGGAACCAATAATGGTACAATTATCTGAATATGCTTTGATTGGTCTCGATTGCTAGGCATTATTATGGCAAGTTTAGGACATAGCGTTTGTATGTGGCTGTATCGGTTGCTACTACTAAAAAATGATTCTGAACCTTCTTTTAAACTTTTTTTAATCAATCTTTCATCTCATATGTATGTTTTGCCCCATATGCAATAAGATGCCCTTCTGATCATCAGCCCTATATCCTTTTCCTCACAAAAGGGAAGAGCTTCATATTGCGTCCTCTCTTCTGGTTCCTCATTTGTCTTCGGCCTTCTGGACTGTTGTCTTGTGATACCAATTAATTATTAGCTATAGATGGGATGGAATTGAGATTCTTTGCGAAGTATTTTGCAAGGGCATTATGTTTATTTTATCTACTGGTTTCCTCGTATATTCAGAATTTTTACTAATTTTTCTTTGACCATCATTTCCTTATTGTAGAGATATCTTTTATTTACCTGTCAACGAAGAAGAAAAATAAATAAAAAGAGGAACCCCAAAACAGGAACTATGATGAGTTCCTGAACCACTATTGTAAAGGGATGACCTTTTTTGAGATTCACCTCATTGCCTAACCATTTCGGTTGACATAGAAAGAGTCATCACCTTTTTTTGTAGCTGAAGCATATTCTTAGCTACAATCAGAGGGTGCTAATACTGGCTTTGCTAGATTTATGTTCTGTCTGCTGGAATTACTGATCTGGCAGTGCATTCTCAGCAACTGCAATGTTGTGGTAGCATGGTTTTCCAAGAATTGATCTGTGGCAAAGGGATTAGAACACAGATATTGTTGTTGTGGAATGATGGATGGAGGAGATGGAGTTCTTGCTTTGCATTGGACTGCATTGATTGTTCTCTGCAATTCTGTACTGATCTGGAGCATGGAGTTGTTGTTTTGCTGAATGATCTGAAGGTCCAATTGCTGGGCTGTTCTGTTTTGCTGGTCTGCTTTGTTGTGCTGACTGGTATATTGCAGTGAGGTTTGCAGGCAGTTAATCTCAGCTGTTAGACATCTTTTGATTGTAATTAGAAATGGTTTAATCCATCTTGTAGGAGTAAAGCCATTTTTCATTTGTTTTAGAACTTCTTGTTCTTTGCTTCATGTAATTCATTCTTTTTTGGAAATAAAATTTTTTCTTTTCTTTAAAAAAGAAAAAAAAGGCTTATGCCCAATAAAATTTTTTAATATGATACGACATAAACCCGACTTATTTAAATGCTCTTTCATATTAAATTGGTGTTATCCTATAGAATGCCTAATTAACCTATTTATTCCTCTATATTAATCAGTATTAGGAGTTGGGAAAGATATTATAATATCATTTGGCTTCTGATGGATGAAGTGTTTTTGTTGCTCCAGTTGATGTCGGTGGAATCGACATCACAATAATATAGGATTCTATTGGAGAAATTCACAAAAAGAATTATTTCAATGAATTGACAACCCCAAGTACACAATACCTTTTGTTCAATTAAAACATAATACCAAACAATGTAAACAATGTTAAGGAAAAACTTCCATTGAAGAGGAAATGGAAGTTTCAGCATTGAAAATGTACACACACAAACCACTATTTTTTGACATTGAAAAACATCAATTTTGATGATTGTTTCATACGGGTTGATAAGTACAACACAATTACAAATGAACAAAGATTGGTGCTTTGTTGAATATCTTTAATTCATGGTTGTAAATCATTTTTCATGAAATAAAGTGTCGATTTGTTTGAAAACAAAAAATGAGGTATTATAAAGCATATTTAAGATAAAACTTGAGGTAGTTAACAAACATATATTTTATTTTTATTTTCATAATTTGATAGACAAAAATGACTACCAAACATGTTTTCTGTTTCAATGGTTACCACTGTGAAGACCCTGGTCCATTACCGGACCCCTGTCTTCCAAGGGTTAACCTCCCATTACCGGGATATCACCACCCTCCACCAAAGGATTTCGGCTAACCTGTGGGTCAAACCCCCACAGTAGCCTTTACCTCCGTCCCACATCGGGGAAAGAGTCGTCTCCCCACCCCCATATAAGCCGAAGCACAATATGAGAGCAGTACCCAAGTACCACAGTGTGCTACTTGGGTACTGCTCTCATATTGTGCTTCGGCTTATATGGGGGTGGGGAGACGACTCTTTCCCCGATGTGGGACGGAGGTAAAGACTACTGTGGGGCGAGTCCTGCAGGTTAGCCGAAATCCTTTGGTGGAGGGCGGGTTCCCGGTAATGGGAGGATTGCCCTTGGAAGACCTATATCCCGGTAATGGGAGGAGTCTTCACATAAAAAATGTTTCCCGTATAGGGTGAGCCAATGCCCAGTAGAATAATCCCTACAGAGGCTACTCATCACCTAAAATGCATATGCAATGTATAAATGCAACATTTCACAACAAGTATTCCCTCCAACAATAACATATAATACAATGTTGGAAAATCATGATGCCATGCCAAGTAATGAGATGAAACTCACCCATGCATGCTATCCCGAGCCCACACTGACTCCCACAACACAATGCGACACTTACGTGTAAAACAAACGTCTTTGATGAAACACATCCAAAGATCATTTTGAAATCAACCATATGTCATAAAACTAATTCATTCTTGGATGTTTCCCACCAAATGAATAATTTATATATCAAAATCATGTGCCTTTATGGGGTATCGGATTCAGGAATCGCACCTCCGGCTCCGTACGCCGTTACACTTTTCTGGAATTTCACCGCCGGTAAGTGTATGAACCAAGTGGTCGGGTTTTTCACCCGAGGGAGTGTCTAGCCCTACTTGCTATACCCGACACAAGTTTTCTTATGCATGTCACCGTGCGACTCCGTAGGACATTCCATCCCACTTTCCCGAGCCTACCATCAAGAACCAATGTTGGTGTTGATCACCCCATGCAACCCTACACCCACACTCATGCATGTAGCCCATGAATGTGATGTTAATTCCATGTCCATATTGCAATGCATGCCAAATGACAATTTTTAAATATCATTGTATACCATGACAATTAATATCATTTGCATATAATCACATAATCATTTCAAGTTCAATATACCCAAGAGCATATATCAACACTCCATCAACATGATAACACATAATACATGCTAATATTACATTTCATTCACAAGGCATAATATAAAACACAAAGCATGCCCACATGATCCCAATTTTCAAGGGATTACATAAATACTTCCATATACCAAAATCAAGCCAAGATTTTATATGGATCATTCAAACAAAATAAAAATCAGAATATATGATTTTTATATAATCAATTATCTAAGCACTTTCTAACTACCAATTCACACTAAAATTGATCCTACCCATTTCCATAGCACCAATCATAATGGAAAAATCTTAGAAATACCCAAAACAGCCCACATGAACCCTATGGACACCTTAGGTTAGAAATAGGTCCGAGTAGGAGGAACCCTACCTCTTGAAGCGTAAAGAATTTGTAGAAAGCCTCAAGAACAAGATTGAAGTCCAAAGCTTAGATTTCTCCAAAATCCTCCCTTTGAATCTTCGGTGAAAATCTTTGTTTTTGGTACCCACGCGTAGCTCTCGTCGCGTAGATCGACTTTAATTCTTGGCCCGACGAATTCCGACCGACGGAACTCCGAGAATCGGCGAAAGAAAGCTTGAAGAATTTTATTTTTTCTCCTTAGCTCTTTGGTTTGATCCAGCCGGCAGCAAATGAAGAAAATGAAGAGCAAATATCTGATTTGCTCACTTTTATACCTTCTAAACACTTGGCCCTCGTCGCGCCAAGTGTCATCCTTTGTCCGGGTCCGTTTTCATCCCGAAACGATTAAATTTCGTACCGATTTAAACTCAAAATATTTTATATGAACTTTATTTAAAATATTTTTTAAATTTTCAAATTTTTATAAAAATTTCGTTTTTAGGGGTCATCGAACACCCGTCACCTCGAAAAACGTGAAAAATCTGACTATCTCAGAATTCGACGAAATTTGTCTGGGTAACTAGATTTCGTGAGACGAATCCAATGGTGAGGTCCGTTTCATCATCCGAGGTCTATAAAAATACCAGTTTTTTTTTTTAACTCACACTATAATGGCAAATTACCATTTTCCGTTTTTTTTTTTTTAAGAAAAAGTTAAAATTTTTCCCGGGTTTCACATTCTTCCTCCCTTAAAAGAATTTCGTCCCCGAAATTCACATACACATGCACATACAATCACATGCATATGCAAAAGTCAATTAATGGTAAATGACCAGAAGAATATACCTCCATCCTCGAACAAGAAAGGATAACTAATACGGACAGTGTCCTCGCGCTCCCATGTTGCCTCCTCTACTCCTCGATGCTGCCACAGCACCTTCACTAGCCGCACGGTTTTGCCTCGCAAAACCTGTTCCCGGCTATCCATGATGCGCACCGGTCCCTCCTCGAAAGTCCCATCAACATCAACAACAAGCTCTCCCCAATCCACCACATGAGTCGGATGTGGGGTGTACTTCCGAAGCATAGAGACATGGAATACTGCATGAACACTCGATAGATTTGGCGGTAATGCCAACCGGTAAGCAACTGTACCCACTCTCTCAAGTACCTCGAAGGGCCCGATGTATCTCGGTGACAGCTTCCCCCGCTTACCAAACCGGACCACTCCTCTCTTAGGCATAACCTTCAAGAAGACATGATCTCCCACCTCAAACTCTAGAGGTCGCCGCCGTCTATCAGCATACTTGGGTACTGCTTCCATATGGTGCTTCGGCTTATATGGGGGTGGGGAGACGACTCTTTCCCCGATGTGGGACAGAGGTAAAGGCTACTGTGGGGGTTTGCCCCGCAGGTTAGCCGAAATCCTTTGGTGGAGGGTGGTGATATCCCGGTAATGGGAGGTTAACCCTTGGAAGACAGGGGTCCGGTAATGGACCAGGGTCTTCACAACCACAAAACAGAGACAAAAGATTGTCTCTGTTTTTTGAAGATGCAAAAATAAAAACGTTACCAAACATAGTCGTACAGTTTCTTTACAACGTATAGTTTTCGCTCCCAAAAAATTCAGCGATCATGTCCGTAGGTTTTAGCAATTATCGATTTCAAAAATTCTATAAACATTATTAATATTTAGATAAAAATCCCAACTAGATCTCAAATCCTAAGAATTCTCTCACAAGATCTCTCTCACTCAAATCTATCTCTTCATGTAAATCTCTTTCGCATATATGTATATATATATATATATACAAATACACTATAATAAAAGGTTAATATGTATATATGTATATATATATACACATCGTAATAGAAGGTTGGTATAGGTTGTATATATATATACTAACAATTGTCAGTGCCTAAAAACACTTTGTAACGGACAAAAAAATCTCAAATAACTACCCATGTCCGACTGCATATTCTAACACAAAAAATCTCTCAATCGAAAAAAAAAATGCAATGGACTGTTTCCTAATTCAAGTCCATCATTTTACATGGGTTCAATAAAGATCAAAATTTTATGTACCTAAATTCTAAAACAAAAAAAGACTGTTTGAATCCAACACAACAATCATTTTTTATTTGTCCTAAAAGAGTACAATCAAACTTTCAATTCCTAAAAGAGAAAGCAAGAATTCAATCTATAAAGAATCACAACTTTCTTCACGTGATATCAAAGAAAACAAGTATAAAGTCATTGGAATATAAATGTTGAAATTGTTGGACCAAAATAGTTTTGTGAGTGTAAAAATTAAATTTTTGGTCAACTTTGAATCTAAATTAAAGTGGGATCCGATTGTTGTTTTGAGAAAACTTTAGTGGGTTCGTGTTCTATTTCATGAGGATAATTGTTGGAACAGAAGTCACAAGAATCAGTAATAGCGCGTATGTATCAAATACATTTTTATGAAAATCCTACAAAGTGGAACTATGGTTTACTTTTGAGATTGCTCTCGATTGATCTCGTCTCATCACAAACGTAGAATCTAAAGATAGACACCGAAAACAGCTCAAAGAACCTCACAATCTTCTGTCGTGTATTCCCTAATGTCAAAATCTGGATGCAATATGAGCTACAAAAACTTCCTAATTTCTACTCTCTCTCAACCTCCCTCAAAACGTGAGTAATTAAGGTAATGCTAATTAGAGAGCCTAGACGTCTATATACAGGTTATCACAAAAATCCTAAAGAGAAATAAGAGTCGTGCTTCCAATGGGTCTAGGAGTCCTATATTCAACCTAGAATAATCATCCTGTAGTTCATTAATAATAAGTTAGTCTACTAAAAACTTATTATTAATCTATTGAGTCTTATCTCAAAAATTATATTCGAGTTTCTTATTATTATATGCTTAATAATCTCCCCACGTTTAAAATTACAGATGTCTATCAATTAAATAAATTACTAATAATTA